TGAATAGAGCCAGATCGTTTGGATAACTCCATGGGATCTGAAAGACGGATACTGTTCACTCCACGATATGTCCTGGTCAGGGTGACATATTTGGCTGATAGAAAAAAGTACATGCAGGCATATCAACAGGCTACATCGACATACATCCAGTGGTGGTCATCACAGTAGTTAAATGAGGTTCGTGGAGAGCAGCCTGCAAGTTTTCTGCCAAGACTGTGAGGATAACAAACGAAATGTATCAAATTTCTACATACAGGCACATGCAGTCTGTCTGCGCTGTCGGGGTTGCTTGGGAAATCAGCCAAACCGCATAACAGTAATCCCTACTGGTTCATAAGTGAAGGAAAGGGATATAAAAGAAACGCACGCAAAACGCCAACCACCCTGCCATAAAATAAAGAAATGGGTGCCTCAAGTCTATGCCGCCAATGCTGCCAAATGAAAATCGTCGTGATGATTTGGTCGTAATATGTGCGAAGATGACTCGTCCGGTGCGCCGCGATATGCAATCATTCTCTTGGAAAGCCCCAGGTCACAACTGTCCCTACCAGGGCCCAACTCTAACGGGAGCTCCATAGGTTCCAGACATGAGCTGGTTGAGAATAGAATTAGGGTCAGAGGGCCCTCCAGCTCCTGGGTTTGCATTGGCGCCTATCCATCCAACACTCGTGGACATGGCGTTGATTGCTGAGGCAAGACGATCACCGGATTGTTCATTGTGTCGAGACAAAATTTGATCCCATCCTCCAGTATGCAAATTAAGACCACCAGCCCTCTTGCCAGCTTCGTTGATAACAAGCGCCCATGCCTTTGATATTTCTTCATATGCAGTTTCCTTATGGTGTCGGTATGTCTGCGGCTCCCAATTGGGAAGTCTATGAATAATGTTTGTGGCCTCGTCCAAGAATTCAAGTGATTTGGTAGGCTGGATTTCATTTGGTGGGAGAAATTGAGGGGTGAAATCAGATAGTGCGTCAATCAAAGCAACCAGCGGCTCTTTGATCCGATAGTAGGTGTATTCCGGGCTGGTTTCGCCGTATGGAATAGCATCCTTCAACTTCGCCTCGTAACCTTGCAAAACTTGCAGGGCAGACGGAACTGAAGGTCGAGGAGCTTGTGAGACAACCTCATGACCAATGTCGGGATGGGTTTCGCATATGCGCTCAAGAACGGTTCTTAGCTGAGAAGTATCGAGAGTCTCGAGAAGTCGTGGAAGTGCAAGAGGTCGACCGATGACTTCGTTGGATCGAACTTTTTTTGATGGTCGAGCTAGAGGCCGAGCAGAGATGGTAGGAGAACTCCTGGGTGACATAGTCTCATCACCATCCTCGTCGGCTTTGCGCTTTCGAGAGGCCATGCTGTGAAAGGGAGGCACTAAGTGTGTCAGTGGCGAAGAGCAGTTGGAAAGGTGGAAGAGTTGAGTGAGTTATCACATCTCGAATGGGGAATGATCGAGGCACGATAGCACTTACGGGATCGCTGAGGGGAGAGACGAGGGTTTTCGTGTTGATGAGGGAAGACAGGAGGCTGAGGCGAGAGCAGAACGTTCATATTGTCGCAAGTTCCAAAAGCATCCGATGGGACTCGGTAACGATCCTTGTTCAACAATCAATGAATGAACAAGTCACTCAAAGACAGTGCAAGCTGGATAAGCCAAAATTGGTGACGAATATGTTTGCCGACAAAGATGGTTTGTGTGTTGGCCGTTAAGACACCGGCGGTGGTCTCGTAGTGCTGGACGTCAAGAACCAAAGTTCCAAATTCTATCGCCAGTTGCGTGAATACAAATGGGTCGGGGAGTCAGCGTTAAGCACTGTGAATGTATGATAGAAGGGTTTGCTTGGCAGAATTGCTATACCGAGCGATACGATATGTCGAGCGAAATAAAGGATTCGTGGTGGAGGGTGAATGGCGTAGAAGAGGGTTTTAAGAAGGTGGAGGAGGATGAAGAGGTGGACAGGACTGGTGAAGTTGGGGTTGGTCAGGCTTTGAATGAGGGAGAGTTCCAAGGTTCCAGTGTTTTTGGTCCGTTGTCTGGGGCTAGTGAATTTTGCCTGGGCCTAGGTCGACGGGGGGTCACGAGGCATCTCATTCGCTCTGGCCACACCTGAGGCCCCCGTGGCAAGCCGCCCAGGCCTGGTAGCCACACGTGAACAGGGACCGGTTGAGGGGCATCTTCATGGTCCCCAGTATTAATTTAGCACCTTTTTGGGCTCAAGTGGCTGTTGGTCCGTTTCAATTTTCCTTCACCGCGCTGGCCGGGTCTACGATTCTCTGTCATGACTCTCGCAAATTTTCTTTAGGCATGAATTCAAGTATTTTCTTCACAGCTTACTGGTCAGAAGCGGTATAGAATTAGAAATCCGCCGGAGCTCTTTATGGCATACCCACCAATCAACACGACGGCAAAGTTAAGATTAACTAAGCCCGGGCCGTCTTGACGGGGCCGGAACGGGTCCTTTCCCTAATTCGGCCTCCGCCACCAGGCTTCGGCCAGCGACGGCCTCGGCGATGTACGTCGGGCCTGTATCTCTCAGGCCCCGGAACAACAAGTTACTACAGGTGCGAATATTCTCATCAATCACCTCTTTATCAACGGTCGATAGATTGGCATGATGGTCGGGCGATGGCTTGTGGTTGGGCCGCAGATAAATGATGATATAATTGTGGTGAAGTCACAGATGGCATAGTCCCTAAATACAGGGCCTTACCTGTGGTAAGCTCAGTTCCATGGATGATTCACTGAGAACTTTGCTTGATAAATTTTGCCATTGGGTGTTTGGGATGTTTCTGAGACAGCAAAATCCCTGTTACTCGGTACATTGAACGACAAGTGTCGTAAGGCGGTGAATGATATTGGATGATTACCACTTTGTTCGTCTTACCAAGATGCGACTGAGAGTAAAATCGTATATTTGACAACAGCCTCGATAATTTCCCTTCTACTTATGCTGTCATTACCAGTCAAGCTAGCAAACTACTAATGGATCCTCCGTAGTTGCATCAGCCTGAAAGATCGCTGCCTTCATACTTCCCAATAGTGTACAGGCACCAAATGCCACTGCGCCCATCCGCAAACATAAATACCCGAAATATTGTCAACCCACGGTGATATGGCTATTTATCTCGAAGCCAGTATCCGATTTCAGCACAGTTCGATAACTGCCCTTATATACCCTTCTCGTCGCTTTGTCAGAGGTTGAATGAGCTTACGGTAAGGTGTTTGGGGTTGGCATAACGCTCAAAGTGAATTCCCCGGTCAGTGCACCAAAATTTGGAATAAAGTCTTTCTCTTTGTTGAACAGTCTACAACGTTCTCCCTAATTCCAGGGGCTGGTTTTTTCAATGCGGCGGACAACGGACAACAACGCATATAATCGGTACTTGACTGGTCCACCATCGGAGGAATGGTCCGGCGCGGCGGACCCACATCTCCGATTTTCTTATCTCTTATCGCAATGGAAGAGGCAGAAAATTTCTAGCGACTTTATCCTTAACCTCGTCTATCAACCATCATCACCACAATGGCGACAAAGGAAAAGAAAGAGAAGAAACCGAAAACTCCTAGGTCGGAATTAAAGACCGAGAACCCCGAAAAGACTGCCACAATTGAGAGGGTCGAATCGACAGAAGCTGCGGAGATGGCAGAGTCTGAAGCCGACGTATCTTCTTCCAAGCGCAAGATCGAACTCGAAGAAATCGAAGTCGACGTAGACGCACCCGAGCCCCCGTCCAAGCGTGCAAAGCGTGCTCTCAAAAAGGGGAAGTCATTACCCTCGAAACAGGATAGCGATGACGAGAAAAAGGGCGATAAAGATGGCAAGGATAAGAAAGCCACTCGGTCAGAGCACAGTGTCTGGATCGGCAACTTGCCATTTCATGTCACGGCTACAGAGCTGCGCAAGTGGCTCGTCGATAACTCCGGAGGCGTCATCACTGAAGAGATGATCACTCGAGTCAAGCTACCAACCAACAAGGAACCTAGCCGGGATAAGAGCGTCAAACCAGCAAACAAGGGGTTTGCCTACGTCGATTTTACAGAAATCGGTCCTAAAGTCTCCGCTATCTCTCTGACCGAGAGTGACCTTGGTGGTCGAAAACTTCTCATTAAGGATGCGACATCGTTTGAGGGTCGGCCCAAAAAGGAGCCTGAGTCCACAGAAGAGAACGCCAATGAGGGAAAGACCAGCAAGGAGCAAAAGCAAGATGTCAATGCCAGTCGCAAGATTTTCGTGGGCAATATGAGCTTCAAAACAACTGAGGACGACCTATACAGAAACTTTGAGAAGTGCGGCGAGATCGAATGGGCCAAGGTTGCGACCTTCGAGGATACTGGAAAGTGCAAGGGCTTTGGTTGGGTCAAGTTCCAGGACCCCAATGCTGCTGCATGGGCCGTCAAAGGTTTCGTCAAAATTAAAGAGGCAGTCGACACAGAGGACGATTTCAAGGACGATGAGGAGAAGGACAAGTCGCAGCAGAAGCAGTTCAAAACACGCAAGTGGTGGGTAAACCGAATGCTGGGTCGCGAGCTTAAGGTGGAGTTGGCCGAGGATGACCAAGTACGGTACAAGAAGCGGTTCGGCAAGGATCGTAAGGCACTTCCCGACACGGACAGTAACCCACGAGGTCGACCTCCGCCGCGTAAGTATGATCAAAGGAATGGCGCAGTGCGGGAGAGTAATGATGTCCATGGGGAGGTTGCGAAGCCGCTCAAGGAAGCTGAGGATATATCTGTTGCGAGACTGACGGGCGCGGTTGTGAAGCATACGGGTACGAAGATGACCTTTGACTAAGTACAGCGATATACATTCCATGTTCCCGAGATACCCATTCATAGTTCCAATGGTTCCTTACATCCGATGTGAAAAGATGTATACATCCTGAGTGAGACTTATCCTTACGCGTGGGGACTCTTTCGACTTAGTCGTTCCGTTCCGTTATAGATCCGGAGGCTTGGTGCAATTTCCCCGCATTCATATTCCAGCGATCTCAGTCATTCAATGAGTGCCAAATACAAGAGACACAGTATTCATTCGCCTCCTATCGCATTCATTATGTACCAGTCTCAAATCACTTTCGTCATGGACACCATTTGTCCTTGGTATGATAACTTGTTGAAGAGAAGGACAATCATGGCTAACGCATCTCAGGACATACCTTGGAAAGAGGAGGTAACATCTCCCATCTTTATTGGGCTCACCTTGACTTTAATAACCATTTGAGGTTTTGACTACAGACTCGATGAGGCTCTGGCTCAGTTCCGCTCCTCGAATTCTTCATCCTCCATCTCCTTCAAGCTCCATTTCGCATCTTATCAGCCTAATGCCAACCGTCCTGAGACCATCCCGGACCGAGCTGCATATGCCCTACACAAGAAGCATAATGACAATCGAGAGGCTCAGAAAATCTTCGAAGAGCATATGCTCTCCCTTGCGCAACCACTGAAACTTCCCATAGCCTTTACGGGACCGACTGGTAACTCATTTCCTGGACATCGGGTCATCCAACAAGTTCAGGAGTCCCAGGGCGCTGAAGTAGCGAACAAGCTCGTGGACGCAGTGTTGAGGTTGTACTTTGCGGAAGGCAGGCATCCCGGTTCTGACGATACGTTGATCGAGGCATGTGTTGATGCTGGTATAGATGAGGGAATGGCAAAAAGCTTGGTGGAAGATAAGTCCAGAGGTGAAAGAGATACCAAAGAAAAGATCAGAAGTACAGGTATGGACATCGATGCCGTGCCAACTGTAGTCATTGAAGGGCGAAGGAGGGACTTGACGCTCACGGGCCTGAAAGAAGTCTCGGAGTATATCAAGGCCATGGAGACAATAAGGAAGGAAAGTTCATAGTTAAGCATGCTTATAATGAGAGGCAACGAAGGCATCTGTCAGAACATAATATTCGTATTCAGTGGAAAGAAATACTGATAGTAAATACATCAAGAAACGAAGGACATGGTATCGTTATTACAAGAGTGTTCCCACTATTTCCAGGAGCTCGCCATCATTTCATTCATGTTTCTCGTACTGCGTTCAGTTCATGAGCGACTGAACATCAGGGGTACTAATACACTCCGACTCTCCAGTGCTCTTCGATCCTCCATGACCATGCTGGGGCCAAATGCCGTACCAATATCCCGGCCTGCCAGAAAGCGACATGCGTTGGCTTCGCCGACTCGAGGTTTCTTGGTATGGCAGAACTCGCGGCTCAGCTTGGACAGGACAGCGGCCTTGGCCTTTTGCAAGGCGCTCACTCTCGCGACAGCATCTTCAGCTAGAAGACGGTGCGCCTCTTCCTGCTCTATGTTGCGCTGAACGGGAGAAATGCCTTCATCCGGGTCTCGGCGGGCATTCTTCCTTGCGGTTGGGTCATAAGTTGTGGGTTGGAGCAGCACAGGCTGGGGATCACTGATCAAGATGGGGGCGGTGATGTTGGGGACAGGAGTTGAGGGGCGGAGGATTGGTTCCTCCACAAAAGGTTGGAATCGAGGACGAGAGGTCTTGTGGCGGCGTGATAGGGAGTGTTGGGAGGACTTGGGTGAAGGAGACGGTGTTTCAGGGGCATCCTCAACACTGCTGCGATGCTTGCGTCTGCGGCGACGAGAGCGTTTCTTTCTAAGTTTTGTGCTGAATCCAGGATCTGATTCATATATAGGTACAGAAGACCCATCATTGGCCGTGATCTCTTCAGTAGGGTCATCAACGACTTCGTTTTCAATGTCACCGAAGGGGAAGCCACCGAGGTCCATGTCGAAGAGCTCACGACTAGCGGCAGTTACAGCAGCGCTTGGGCTAGGAAGATGTTCTGAGCTGGGGCTTGTGACAAGACTGTATTCTGATTGGGCAGCTATGCTGTTGCTTCGAGACCAGGAATCATCAGTGTCGATGGGCGCAAGGACATCGTCCCAGTTACCATTATCAGCAAGAACGACACTCTCGAAGTCGAATTCTTTGACTGTTGGGCGGTGTGAGTTGATCAAGTTGCTGAGCTGAGGGGCATTCATAACAGCGTTGCGAACTTGGAGGTATCGCAATTTTGGGAAGTAAATAGCCCCCTTTCCAGGAGTCTCAGGTAAGGGAGACATAGGAGATGTTACCTCGTGGAAAAGCTTCTTGGAGGCACGGGGCGGTGAGAAGAGGGGGTCAGAAGCTAGAGCAACTGGGCAAGGCCCTTTGCGGCCAAGCCATGTGAAGGCGAACTTCTCGAGGCTGGGGGCAAATGTGCGGACGTATTCGTCCAAGATCTTCAAATGATCACGACCTGGAGATGTTCCATAAAAGTCCCAAGCATCTACAGAGATGGAGAGCTTGTTGATTTGGCGCCAGCGTCTTCCAGCTGATGGGACTGTTCCAAAGCCGTTGACGTGACGAAGGTAGTTGAAAGCCGCAGGGTGCAGTTGAGAAAGAGACAGCTTGTGAAGCTTCTCTAGAGGTGCGCGCTCAAGGGAAATACGCAAGCTGATGAGAGCATAGTCGACAATGTCACGGCGATACCGCTCTCTAGGATCCTGGCCAGGACATCTGATAGTAAGATGGCGCATGTTGGTTAGATTGCGCATGGCGTTGATAAAGCTAGGGACATTGGTAGCGGCATGGAAGAGAGGAGGATATTGCTGCGTAAGGATGTCACCAAGCTCAGCGTTGGCGTACTTGGGCCGAGAGAGAACAGAACCCATGCTCGTGTGAGGAGTATACAGGAAGCATATCTCGTTACCAGAAACTGGATGAATGAGAGGAGGAAGGAAAGTGGCCTCGGAATGGGGGAAGTAGAAGGTAAGATGCTCAATATGATGACCGATACGAGCGAGAGCAGCCACTCGAGCTGACTTGGTAAATGTCGAGGCTGAGAAGGAGATGTGTAGGCGGGTGAAGATACGTTTAGTAAGGAGGTTGCAGCAAGCCGATGAGGATTGACGGATGTTGCAGAGATCATTGGATGAGAGGTGAGGAAGAAGAGAGTCCTTAATGTGGTCACTTCTCAAGACGGCGAGAAATAATTGTTCTGTTGAGGAAGCCATTGTAATCGCATGTCGCGGAGGGCTTTAGCCTCGTAGATCCGTTGCTTATATTTGATAACTGCTGGTGCTGTCAAGTGCCGGCGTAATCAATGTTGATGATGATCCAAAACGGTGTGATATCAATATTGTAGTCCAAGACGAGGTTGGATTTTTGTTGTATGTTGAGATGAGGTTTATTCAAACAACAACAGTCAATAAAGAAAGGAGCAGGTAGATAGATGAGAATAGTAGTCAATAACAATGGTCTGATAAGTCAACAATTTATAGAATGATACCAGGTTGATTTCTTAGTAAATCGAAAGGACAAAAGGATCGGGTCAGGCCATGAGCGCCGTGTCCGGGTGGTCAAGATATATCTGTCTCTGCCTCTGTCTGTCTCGCTGCGGTCCCCCAGATCAGCCTCGTTCTTTTTTGGCTTCAAAGGAAAAGAGAAAAATGGAAATTCCCCTTTCTCCGACTCCATTCTCTTGCTCTAGTGTCTCTGCGGGCTGCAGGTTCGTGCATTGGTCCTATCGCGAGATGGTCACCCTCTCCCAGCGACGACTGGCTGTCGGTGACTCAGAACTCGAATCACCCTGGTCGTGTCTAGATCGAGGTATCCATACTTGTTCGCGTTGGACTGGACGTTGTATGACTGACCGACAACGCGTTGCGATCGCTTCATGATTGGTTGGCTCCCCGTGGTTTGTTCTGCCGCTATCCTTGTTGCTGCAGATCTGCCGCGAGGGCACGATGGAATCCTACTTCGAGAGTACTTTGCTGGCCTCGAGATCAGCAACCACTGGCGAGACCAGCTGCAAACTCTTTCAATGTAGATGCTTCCTATTTTGAATCTTGCCACGTCCATCAGGTCCACTCCTACACCCTTCCACTCCTTCAATGTGTGATTAAATCTTCAGTTCAGGCCTCCTACATTTTGAACGCAAGTATCCTAGGAGTACATCCCATGCCTCGGGTGTTTATCGATAGCGCTTCTAGATTGTGGGGAATGGTCCCTCTGCCACGCTTTGGAAACATGCATATATCTTTCAACCAATCAATCGCGTGTCCAAGAACGCGATAGTCGCGTTGTTTCAACCATGCCTGTCGCGCTATGATTGGCTATTCTGACAACACTCAACTTCCTTCCATCGCCATGTAAGTCATCGGCGGCAGGTCAATATCTTGACTCTCAAGCAAAGCGGGACGGGACGTGGGAGTCAAGTCTGCTCTGTTCTGCGAGTTCCTGGACTGCAAGATCTCAATATGGAAACTGTCAGAGTCTAACTTCGCTCGATCTAGCATTTGAGTGTGAATCGTGTCATTACAGGATATCAACCATTCATCGCCGAAACTCGCATGTCTGCCCTAAACTCATCCAAGGACGAATCATGCAGGATCCCTCGCCGGCGAGACTTAAATGCGCAACACACATAAAATGCATACACCACATCGTTCTGCTAGCATGGCATCCATTCGTTGCCATACATCCCAGCCCATCACATCCTTGTTGGTACAACCTTGCTCTCAAAAAGATCCATTGAAAGCAAAGGTCGAGAAAGCCCCAACCCTAAAACATGCATCTCCATTAAGCTTCTTGGTCACTCCCCACCTATTCCTCGGCCCAGCCCTGTATGAACCTTGAACGAGTCCTCGAGATGACTACATCTTAACATGAGACTAGTGAATGACAGTCCTGTTCCGTCCAGACTCGTGGCAATAGATCGTTGCCTCCACTTGGGGCACTGTGAGTGATTATGCTTCGCGAATGTGATGCTGCATTGTCGCGACTTCTTATCACACAGACAATCGACGTTCTTTTCCTTGAGACGGACATCATTCATTTGGGCGCTATCCCTGACTAAGTATCTGAAGATACAGTTTTACTTCCGACGGTCTTTGGTAGTATAACCAGTTGGATGTTGTCTCAGATATGAGAAGAAGTGATTTATTCAATCACGCGCAAAACCTCTTGTTAAAAACGACTTGTGGTGTCTACAAATTACAGCCAGTAGCGGGCCCTACCTGTGCATGACCCTTGTCCATGTATGCATTGACAAGAGACGTGTGATTAAGCCTATGAATTCAAGAAATTCTCGACTCAAGTTACTATTTGAGTTTATTGGCATGTCTAAGCCCTCTTTCGTTCCATATGTTTATACAAAGCTTGAAAACTATTGGTATTCGTGGTTCACAGTTATTTCAGTCTCGTCGTTTCCCATTTTGTTTCAAAGAGAAACCGCCAATATGAGAACCAGGTGCTACTAATGAAGCACATGCTGGTGGGTATCATAATCGAAAAGCCCTTTCGCCAAGTCTGGACAGGTCCCCCCTGTGGGCGGGCAGCTCGGCTTTTGTGCGCCAACCAACTCGTAGGATGCCCTGCTCTGAAGGCATCACAACTCTCCATCATCTCTAGTTCGATTCCAACCAATGCATATGTGTTGGTGCTTCGTTCAGACCACAAGCAGTCATCTGCCCCTCCCTCTACCCCTGCCCCTTCCACGACCGCCACGACCTCCACGTCCACCTCCTCTAGGCTTGGACCCTTGTGGCCCGTTACTAGCATGCGACCTTCCGAGTCCCTGAGAGCCGTGGTGAGATGGCGGGGGGACATTCCTATAGTCTTGGGTAGGAGGCTTTCTAGGTAGCGATGAAAATTGCCCAGGCGGAGCACCAGGTGGAGGCGGGTGTCCAAAGGAACCTCGCATGGGCGGTAGTCCGGGAGGTGGTCCAGGAGGGAGAGGGGGGTGGACTGGCACGCCATTCTGTCTGTTGTTTCGTCCCGACCCTCCATTTTGCATGTTTGGCAACTGGATGTTACTGGCCATTCGAATTTGGCCTATCGCTGGCTTCTGAACGCGTTTGTGGCCTAGAAACTCCACTTCCGAGTCGTCGCTCTCTGAGTAGTGAATGTTCGTCGTTCGCGCAGCGTGACCGCGAATCTTGAGGTCGGGGGCTCTGGTGGTCCTGACATTTTGCTGCCCTCCCGCCTCCCCTTCGATCGGCACTGAGCCACAATCCGGGTCAATATATTGATCGCGGTTCTTCACAGACCATGTAGGATTAGAGACGGCATTGTGGCGCGCATTGCAGTCCGAAGAAAAGTGCCTATCACTACCGCACACAGCGCACGATGCAGGAATAAACGCAACTTTTCTGACTGTAGATACATCCGGGTAGAACGATCGCCACACCTGTGTGCACTGCTCCTCAAGGTGATTCATTGAGCTGCAAAAGACACATGCAAGGCCTTCTTCCTTGGTCAAAGCCAGCTTCTCAGTGCATTGCCCTGCTTGGTGGCCAAGTTGGCGGCATTTGTTGCATCGTTCCTTTCCAGGGCAACAGATTCTTGAGTGTTCCAAACTTCCACATGATGAGCAGATAAGGGATGGGCAGCTAGGTGCCAGATGTGCATTCAGCCCACAGAGAAGACACATCCGGGCAGGATCCATGGCCGACGGGAAGTATCTGCGCTGTTGTTCTAATGCATTATCACCGGTGGGAACATTCCGGTGAGTGTTAATCGGCGGTAAGCTCTGAGGATCTGAAACTTTGGATGTTGAGTTGCCATTTGCAGGTATCTTCATGCCTGATGCGTAGTCTTCTCTGCCATCTTCCCCAGTCCTCTCATTCTTGTTTAAGGTTGGCTCGTACTCAGCTTCGCTTTCGGAGCCATCCTCGTCCCTTTCGTCAATTTCTCCCTCGCTTACGCTAGAAGCGCGTGAGGTTTTACTTTTCTTGACAGGTTCCTGTCGGGGTTGCCTTGTCACCCAGCTGTCGAGAGTTGGCTGGTTAGGCCCACAGCCACCCAAAGAATGGAGATTTCCAATAAGAGCTTGAAGTTCGCCAGTGCTTTCAAGCTCCTTTGCAACTTGCTTTGCGTTCTTTCTCTTCTTGGGCTTCAAGCCAGCGTGGTGGTCAATATAGTACCCATAAGCAGAGTAAGTTAATGATGAGGTAATGGCATCACATTTTCCCGGATTTTGGGCATGGAATGCCTTGACCCAGTCCTTAAGCCTTTTAAGCCAGGAGCCGCCTTTCTTATCCATGAGGTTGGGTATTTTGAAGCTGGCACTACCTTGCTTGTAGTCAGGAATTTCGCCAGAATCTTCGGGTGCGGAGTCACCTGATGTGATTGACCGCGCTGAGGACTTGCCAACGGCTGTCGACCCCTCTGTAGGCTTCAGTCCTTTTACAGATTGCTCCTCGATTCTGGGGGCTTTGGCCGCACGCGCATGACTCCTCAAGCGCTTGGGCTCAGGAGTTGAATCATCCTCGAGAGGCCTTTTCTTGGCAGCTGCCGCTGCTTCGTCTCCACTGGACAAGTAAATGACCTCACCTGGGTCAAATTCTTCATCTGCCATGCCGCTGCGCAACAAAGTTCAGCGCGACACTTATGCGGTACCGGCAGTCCTTGTCGAAGCTGAGAGGCGTTCCAGCTTGAACGTAGTATCGGGTCTGAATCTGTGTGTTTCGGACCTTGGCGCATCCGACTTAACGTGAAACTCAACCTCAAGCAAATTTCTCAGGGCCACTTGGCTTGCTCGAAATTGTTCGTGACTATCCTGCTCAAAGAAACTTAATCAACACTGCTCGCCGATGAGCATGGGGAGCGCGCATAGGTAAATCCGTATTAAAAAAAAACCTAGCCATAAGGTGGCGCGATGATCGATCATACGCAGCCTCCCATTTGATGAAAGAAAGCTAGGGGCTTTCAACGAACGCAAGTATGAACGAACGTACCTCAGCGCGTCACGAGTGAGAAATCACTTCCGAAAGGGGTTTGCCAGCAATAAAAATTGCAATGTGCACGGCTTTTGCAACTTGTGATAGTATCGTTCGCGACTGAGACTTCAAGCGTCGCAAAGGCAAGGTGCGAAGAGGCTATTTGACGGTGTCAGGGAGATGTGAAATGAAAGCTGTGATGATATCGATAGGCCTACTATGTTAAGTTAGATCCTAGTTGGGAGAAAATTCCGCAGCCAGCCTATGGGAGATACAGGCCCACAGGCGAAAGATGCCTCACTCTCAAGTTCCGTGGCTATTTTTAAACTCCGAGGTTTATCCAAACCTCCAGGTTAGCCACTCGGCCATGACTAACCTTGGGTTATTAGTTGAATTATACAGTACCATGAACGCCTGGATGTTCTGAGAGACGTTCGATAACAGCCGATTTCCAAAGATGCACACACACCGATCGAGATATCGTGGGCCTTTGTCGGCTGTCTTACCCTCTGCTTCGTGGTCATACTTGTAGTTTCTTATGGCGCCGAGGACCATCAGTCGGTCAGAGTACATCCCATGCCAGCAACACGTTTTCTGCAACATTGAAATATCATTCCACAGGCCAGCCCCGGGTAATCAATAGTGATTCCTCTTCATCTCGGGTAAGACATATGCTATATATTCCACTGCAATCTCACTGGTGAATCTGATACCCATGGGGCTTTGCCAGATCTCGCTTATACTGCATCGTTTTACAGTTCACGAGAGAAAAAAAGGGATTTACTGGCAAACCTCGCAAATGATGTAACTGTAATACTAAATCACTGAGAAACAACACTCTTGATACCAGCTATTAACGTCCTATTGCTTTTTTCTTCTTCTTTTTCTTAAAGCACCTACAGTGCTCTGGACGAAATGTCATCACACGTCGTATTGACATGCAAATCCCCTGAAGAAAACCCGCGGGTTCCTAGGCCCGAACGTTTTATTGGAGGCCCTGAATAAAAAAAGCCCCGGACTAACCATGCTCCAGTGAACTACTGCTGCATGCTCACCCACTACGACCACTAATTTCAGCATCGGCTCCACTGTTCCGCCTAACCCGACCTACCCCTCGGGGACAAGAAAACAGCGAACCTTGCTGTAGGGTGTCAAAATAAAGCTGGCAAAAGTTATCCTAAGCCTAGGCTATATTACCTAAGTTCTTTTTATCATCTATGATAGAGGACCTATGTTTTCTTTCCTCCCCTAGCTACCCTGCGAAGTAGCCCCGTCCCTTATTCTGGTTGCATTGCGTGTCCCTTTCTCTTGCTGGCTGATAGGCTGTTGCTCCTTTCTATCTCATGAGAGTGGCTCCTCCTACCTTGTCCACCATCATACGGGGGACATTGAATATTCCGGTTCGGCGGCCCCTCTCATCTCGTCCAGTCCTTCCATATCCATTCCCTTGATCCAATAATTCTACTGTCTGCCATTGTCAACTGTTCTATTCTGCGCGTTACATCTTCTTACTTGGCTCTATTATCGTGTTTGGCCGACTACATCCGTTCTCGTTATCTCCAACATCAATCATACACAGCTGCTCTCTTTTGCCCTTGTATTGGCCTCCCATCTGCCTCCGAACGCCTTCGCCGTGACATCATTAGGGGGAGCATCTACAGTTACTCATCTCTGAACTCAAACCGATCAATCTTTTATCGACGACGCAAACTCTGGGTGTTTGCACCCGTACTGTTCTTCGCCGATTCCCCCCTCCCACTCGACTTCCGCTTTCTGCAAATTGACCCGTCAATACCGCCAAGCTGTCTTCCCCAATCTTACTCCAGCGCACCGTCTCCTACGACGCGGCGAACAAGCCTCCGCGCCGAGGCAGCATCTATCTCAACATGCCCGAACGAAACGCAACGGGAGGAGCTGGAGCCCGAAGGAGGAGATCTAGCAGTATCCTCCAAGTTTACCATGAGCCTCCCGAGACTCTCGAGCAGATCAGCGACCAAGCTTCCCTGCCTAACCTCAACGCCAACTGGACAAATGCTAAAGGTATGCCTGGCCCATTTTGCCGCGCATCTGTATCTTCACTTGCACAATAATCCCGAGAGCCATGCTAACGTGTAGTGCCCCTTAGGTGCCTGGACCATTCATTTCGTCCTGATCGTGTGCGCCAAAATCATATTTGACGCCATCCCTGGTGTTTCGCAGGAGACTTCATGGACGCTTGTCAACATGTCATACATGTTTGGTTCCTACATCATGTTCCACCATGTTCGTGGCGTTCCCTTCGATTTCAACAGTGGCGCTTTTGACAATCTCAACATGTGGGAGCAAATTGACAATGGCGCGCAGTACACGCCCACCAAGAAGTTTCTTCTTGGTGTTCCGATTGCACTGTTTCTCGTCAGCACCCATTATACGCATTACGACTTGACATACTTTACTATTAACTTATTGGCTGTCCTGGGAGTCGTCATCCCCAAGCTACCCTTCGTATGTTGCTATGCCACCCCCTCTATTTGTTTGCATCTCTGCGTCTATGACATGTGCTCTTCGTTTTGTTTACACAACATACTTTCTCGTTGGCGTCATATGCTAACACAAGCACAGAGCCACCGAATGCGATTTGGGTTGTTCTCAGGTCTACCAGAGGAATAGGAGACCGAATAGGGAGCAGAAACAGAAGCAGAATAACTACCGTGGGACCGATTTGCTGTATTAGTTTCAGGGGCATTAGGGTAAGATTATCTTTGGCGAGAAAGAGAATTGGGGGATTGCAAAAATCAAGAAGAGGTCGAGATTGTGCAAGTTGATAGCGAGCAGTATTTACAACGCGGCTGGTGGGCGGAGTGTTCGGTCGTTCAGCGGTAGCTTCAAAACAGCAATTGGATTTGGAATCGGCATATTTCTCACCATTTTGCCATCTCTTGTTCCACTCGATGTCCGCTCCTCATCTATTACCCTTCGATTGATCCGCCTCTCACACTGGCAGGATGTCGATCGGCTCCTCCGTGTTGACTGGGAATGCTCACAAATAAGAAATCATTGGACTGTTTTCAAGCTAAACGAGTGCTTACCGCCTCATGGAGTCTTGATCGTACGAGGAGACAAGCCTAGGGATGATTCCACGGCGACATGGCGTTCCGTCACCTAGGCAATTGGCTTCTCCTGTCGTATTCCGGAGTCATATTTGCAGTCAAGTAAAAAAGCCCAAGTTCCCCTCTTTGGACAGTGACTGCCATTGACAGCATACCAAGTATAAATCAAGGACCTGATCCCGGCTGCTCCCATCTTCCTTGGAGTTCTCCAGCTTCCTTAGTTATTAACGCATTCTCCAAAGAAAGTTCATCGCTCTCCTTTGCGTTTACTTTTTGTTTCAAAACATTGCATTATATCAACATCAAGCATGAGATACAACGCTTTGGCCTTCATGGCCCTCGTCAACGGCCTCGCTCAGGCCAATCGTTTCGACTGGCAGAGCGAGTCCAAGGCTGATGTTGCCAAGCATGAGCACAAGAACGCTGCCGACCCTGTCTTTAAGGTGGAGGTGAACAAGGGTCAACTTGAGGCTGGAAAATTAAAGAAGGAGGGAGAGAAAGCTGAGCAACAGGCCAAGAAGCTGGAGGAGAAGCTGCAGAAGAAAGAGGATGAGCTTGAGCTCAAGGCTGCACAGGCTGGAGGGAACCGCCATCACCACCACAGCCACTCCTCATACTCCCCTGATCCTACCTACGATCCTGCCACAAAAACTACTGGATATCATCACCATCACTCAGGCCACCTCCAAAAGGGCCCCTACACGCTTGATGGAGAGAAATACGACTATATCCATAAACCAAAGGTCCACTTCCACACCTCTTACACAACCCACGCACCTACTCTCAGTCCTGGATGTGTCGGTGACAAGTGTTCTCGTAAGCCTTGTAAGGAATGCCATGGCAACTGGGCACAGCCTGGCTGCTGGCACTGCAAAGCCCTTGGAGCCACTGGCGAGGAGGTTGCTGAACAGGCGGCGAAGACCACCAAGCATGCTCCCAAAGAAACCAAGGCCAAAGAGGAGAAGGAGGAGGAGGAGAAAAAGGAGAAGGATCCTCACGCAAAGACATACACGCATGGAGACAAGACTGTCATTGTTCCTAAGGAGACCAAGGCCCCTGAAGCTACTCGGCCTGAAGCTCCCCAGATTGAACAACCTCATAAAGAGGGCCCTAAGGTCATCGTCATCGAGGATCCCAAGAAGAAGCCTGAGGAGAAGAAGTCTGAAGAGGAGAAAGAGGAGAAAGAAAAGTATCACGATGAAAAGCCAAAAAATGAGTTCCCCAAGGAGAAGCCCAAGCATGAGTACCCCAAGGAGGAGCCCAAGCATGAGCCCAAGCATGAGCACCCCAAGGAGGAGCCCAAGAAGGAGGACATCTGTGACAAGGTCCATCACCATGGCCAGCCTAGCATCTGTGACAAGATCAAGCATCAGCACCACAAGGTTGACGAGCCTAAGAAGGAGAACATTTGTTCGAAGCCCAAGGGTTGCCATCCCCATCAGGCTCCCGCCCCGGCCCCTGCTCCCGCTCCTGCTCCTGCTCCTGCTCCTCAGCATGAAGTAAAGCCTGCTCCCGCTCCTCACCACGAAGTGAAGCCTGCCCCTGCCCCTGCTCCCGCTCCTCACCACGAAGTGAAGCCCCCCCCGGCTTCTGTCCCGGCTCCTCATCACTCCGAGCAGAAGCCTGAGATTCAACCTGTCCCTATCCCTGCTCCAGCTCCCCAACAGCCTGAGCAGAAGCCCGGAGAGGTTCAGCCGGCTCCGGCTCCGGTCCCAGCCCCTGCTCAGCCCGAAGGAGCCAAGCCTGAAGAGGGCAGGTACGGCAATGCTCCATCAGTTCCTGTAACAGTGCCCAAGTCCGGAGCCACCTACAACCGCGTCTCTGTTGGCATCGCCGTCTTTGCAGGTGTTGCCAGCATGATGCTTCTATGAGCTTCAAATCAAGTCTTGTATGAAAGTGCGCTGAACGAAGCACCACTGAAAGGGATACGTTGGAAGCGGTAAGATGGTGTTTAAAAAAAATTGGTGTTATGTCCGCAAGATCTTTGGAACAGGGCCTTTGAGATTATCTTTGGATTCATAGATGACTAGTAGTTTTCAATTGATCGTCCCCTCCTTTTGTTTCACTTCTCTCACATAATGAAGAGAACCACACCCATTGAATGCCCGTTTACCAGCGGGAATTTGGTCGGAGTAAGGATCGGATCGAGAGGCATACCGCCGACCTGATGCTTTGTCATTCCAAGCTGACGTCAATGCCCTTACCTAACAGTGCGGGGCAGGATCTCCTGGAAACCTTGGGGATGGCGACTTATACTACTAGTCTAAGGTAGTTGTGGCATATTCCCCTTAAGGAAAAGCACGATTTTGACCATCTCATCGATAGTAGGAATTATAGAATCTGAAATATAATCTTTGTTGGGGACATGGCGTTCAAATATCATGAGGTACCTAGATAATATAAAAGCTGCTAAACCGTCGAGTTACGCTCCTGTTACTTTGGCCTATTTCCCGGTTGGTTGTAGTTCGATGTCTCGCTGCACTCTGTACATCTGGCAGAACCCCCCTCCTTCGTGACAGTTTTATCTCCGAGCTACAGTACCGAAGACAAAGGTATAAAACGACGCCTTCAGGCTTCATTTATTTCCCTTGATATCCAAGACTTTCGGAAAACCATTCTACTTTCAATCAAGCCGAGATGAAAGACAACAGCATTCCTCTTTATGCTTCGCCCCAGCTGGGCCAAAAAGTCACTGACTACGCAGAGCAACACTCGACCCCGTTACCCAAGTACATTAGTGACTACCACGCGGATGTCTCTGCCAACAGAGAAGATTCTTACTATATGAGCTCTGTTTTTCAGTCTCAATATAATACCTTTCTTGCAAAATCTATTCGTGCTACAAGGGGTAGGTCAAGATACCTTGACATGGAACTAGAGTTCCCTGAGGCTTTTGTTATCAGCCAGGAGAGCAATGCTGATCACCGTCTAATAGTTCTAGAAATCGGTGTCTATGTTGGCTTCTCTGCCCTCGTATGGGCTGACGCTGTGGGACCGAGTGGACTCGTGACTGGCCTGGAGTTCGAGCCTGAGTACGCTGAATTATCCAAGAAGGCTTTCGCAGCAAATGGAGTCGATAATGTTGAGATCATCGTCGGCCCTGCTTCTGAGTCGTGAGCTATTCATATATGTATCATCTTACACCCCAAATTACTGATGCTCGAATAGTTTACCCAAACTCAACCCCACGGAGCCCTATGATCTTGTTTTCATCGACGCAGACAAGACTGGTTATCCGGGATACTTGAAGCAACTTCTCGAGTTGTCGGAGCCTGGTAGCTCGAGCAGAATCCTTCGGCCAGGCGCTCTCATCGTCTCGGATAATGTGCTGCGCCGAGGGTTGGTTGCAGACGACAAAGCGCTGGGTGACGACGAGCTCAAAGGCGATCAATTGAAGAACGTTTTAGCTGTGAGACAGTTCAATGACTTGGCACTGCAAAGCCCACGACTTGAGACATTTCTTTTGCCGTTGTGGGATGGCGTCAACGTTTCCCGCCTTCTTGATTAGTGGTAGCACTGTCTCGACTGGAGAACGATCAGGATGGCGGCATATGGTTATATATATTAGGGCTAAATGAATATGAAGACAAAAAAATATGTATAAAAAACCGTTCGTGACACATCCTAGGCTGATATCATCTCCGTTGATATTCACACTTCATGAACTCGTATTTGGAAAACCATGTCAGGGCATTGTTATATCCATATGTCGTTATTACGCCCCCTTCCCCTGACTGGCGGCAAGTGATTGACTATGACAACACTACCGAAACGTAAAGTGATTAATTAGTATCGGGTGGGAGAAGAGTTGTAGGCTGCCATCTTCTTGTTCTCGCGGTTGCGGCGACGACGGCCAGAACAGCAGGTAACGAAGACGGCGATAGTGCCGATGAGACAGAGAATAGCTGCGGCAAGGACGAGCCAGATACCAACAGACCAGCGAGCACTGGCGGAGGTGTCTCGGTTGATACGTCGTCTGACAATGGAGAATCCAGCGAAGTCACAAGCCAGGGCAATGATAGTAACAAAGAAGGCCAGGAGTGAAACAAGCGTGGACATGAGGGAGCCAAAGATGCCGGCACCGAGAGCCAGAAGGAAGGCAATGAAGCAAAGTCCAGCACCAATAGGATGCAGGACCATGACATACGTCAAGGCCTTTGCAGTGTCCGAGCCAGCATTGGAGAAGTTGGTGCCGGCTACGGCATTGGAAGGGTCGTAGCCAATGCGAGCGCTTGTGCAACTATCGCTGCGGGATATTAGAAGACGAAATCAGACACGGTGTGTTCAAGTGATATGAACTTACCTTCCACTGCTTCTTGTGACACAATACCCAAAAGTTCCAAAATTCACACCATTTCCTCCCCCAGAATTGCCGTTCAAGTTGACCTTGAGGAGGGCTATGTCATTGACAACAGGAGCTGTAATGCTCACTACAATGAGCATGACTGTTGCTGCCAAGAGGAAAAAGGCACCGATATGGTGGATGAATCGTCCCAGACCCATTTTGATGGTTATGATGGTTTGGAAGTAGTGGTAGCGTTGGGCGTCTGCGACTCAAAAATCGCAGGAAATTATGCAGTTATTAAGAGGAAACAAAACCGCTTGCCGATTGGAAGTGATGTGAGACGATACGAAAATAAAAGTCAAGAAACCGAGAGAAGCAGGCCTAGATATATAGTCACTCGGTCGTATGAGGGTTCCCGTGTCATGGATTCATGGAGCCAATGCCAGGAACCAACATTGTGCAGTGTCGTTACGTGAGACGTCATCACTAAGCCTTGTTCCAGGTCTCGTGTGTGCCGAAATCCGTCATGATCAAAGCCAAGACAGGCTATATTGTGGTATAGCATCCTCGTCGCAAGAAGCCGTCTCTACTACGTAGTGACGTAGAGTTGGTGGCTTTGGCCGAATCGTGGCTCATCTACCGGGGTGTGGGCCGCCCCGAATTTCTTGATTCGGGTGTCTCTTTTGTGTCAATTAGATGATTTAGATCAATCTTGGCCCTCTGACCCTGCATTTCAGACAAGACTAACCCACCTGGGCCAGATCATACCAAGATCCTTGTTTGGAAGTTCTGCTTGTTTCTTTTCCCAATCAGCGTCACACGTATCTTATTAGTGTGAACTGTAATGTGGTTCAGAAAAGCATGTGGTGACTACCAGGCATCAATACGACGAGGAGAAATCGATTGTTAGACTACTCGGTGAACCCCGTTCTGTGTCTAGCTGCCTCTCCATGCACTGATTGTGTACTTATAGCTGTGTCTGGGTGCATGTGTAATCTTTTCTCCCAGTCGTGCGCTGCATATTGCGATAACTAGTCAAGATCTGCGCTATGCAGAGAAAGAAGCGAATCGTCAACATGGCTGAGTTAACAAGGTGGAGAATAGTAGATATGTGTTGCGCAAGTGCCGCCTAAGCCTTGGGTAATGAAGCCGAGATTCAAATGTCTTGGTCTTCAGAAGTGATACGCGTCTCTTGCTCATCCACCTTTGAGTTTGGTTCCCGGCGGCGCTGCATACGTTTTCGACGCTCCCATTCTCCCACTGCCTGCGATATTGGCGCTCTAGGCGGTGTTTTTATCTTCGTTGGAATCCAATTGCGGGTTTGTATTCTGTCAATCTTTCTGGAATCCATTGTTGGTTCCCGTCCGAAATCAACGGCCCATTGGCTCAAGCCCCTGGCTGCGATACTATTAGGGAGCGACTGTTGCAGAGTTTTTGAAGCAAGAGTCTTATTTTCTGTGGCAAAGTCTGGCCAGACACTCGCGAGAAACGAGCTTGAGCTACCCTTATGATTGTATGCGGGAGACTCAGTTATTTCGATGAAAAATTTGGTGTCTTTGAAAGACTGCGAAGGCTGCTTTTCAAAACGTGGTTTTAGCCCGTCTACTTTCACAACGGACCTTGGCTCCTTGCAGGATGAAGGAACAGTAATGTTGACTGGGCTTGAGGAGACGGCTCTGGTGGCAGCTTCACTCTCTTTCATCAGTGATATGAACGCAGAACCTTGACCCTACAGTTAGAATAGTCAGCGAAAACAGCTTGTGTCCGCACAGTTCGAAATCAGACATGCCGGCATGAGTTTGAAGAACTCTACTTGTCCATATTGTTCAAGCGCTCTCAGAACAGAGCGTCTCTCAGCAAAATTTACTGGCGCGGGCGAGACGTAGAGACGTATAGAGCGCTTCCCGATTTCTATATTCTTGAGATGACTCGTAGCTATACGCTCAGCCTTCGCGGCTAATTGGGCTGCTCTGTAGGTTTCCGAAGCAGACATGTTGAGTTGGTGAAGTGAAGAATTCAATGCCAAGGAAACGATCCACTGGGTTGGGCTACCTACATTTCATATTCAATTGTTGCTCGATTTTCCTCCACTATCGGCTCGGCTTCGGTGGGGCCGTACTCCAACTCAGGTACGGCCAGAGCTCTTCACCTATTGGATCCATCTTTATTGCTTTCAACCTGGAGCTCGAAACATTTCGAACCGAACCAGAGCGACCTGTTGTTAATCCCCAGATTCCTTGCCACGTCTTGCAGTCATTGCTGAGAGTGTGACTTTCCTGTTGACACGCCGCATTTCACATCCTCCTCACATAAGAGATACAACTCTATTCGCGCCCTCACGAGAGGGCATCATCACTTTCGCGATGGCGACACCAACAGCCGCAAAGCATGCTTCGCAACAGGGCCGGACCCCCTCGCAACTCGCCGCCGCGACTCCTCCTGTATCAACTCCCTTCTCCAATCCCGCCCATGTTGTCTTTTCGCCCAGGGGGCCACGATCATCCCCTCAACAATTCAAGAAGTCGCCCGCCGCATCAACCTTGATGGCGCACGCCTCCAGCGCTCCTCTCAACTTCGACAGCCCTTCCACAGCTGCCGCAATGGGCGCCCTTGGAATTCCTAGTGGGCTCGATATGGGTCTCGATAATGTCGGTGTTGGTGGACTGGGCTCTTTGGGTGCTCTGGCGAGTGAGGATGATAAGTTGAAGCGCCTGGAAACGATCATAGCCACCTTGGATGTAATCGTATTGTTCCCTATGTGATCGGCCGTGTTGCTAATTCAGTGCAGCAGAAGAAGGGACTTGTGGGCGAAGCAGGATTGGAGCGCCTGGCGCAGCGAATAGGACTTGACTGCCTTTCGGAGGATCATACAGCACCTGACGGCCGAAAGCAAAGAACTCTTGTGATAGCGGGCTCAGCCATTCAGCTGGAAATCACCCTGCACAATAATATTGTCGAGAATATATCCCTGGCCTTCCCGGAATCTGCTCGTTCAGTTACCGACCATGTCACCAGAGCGAGCGAGATTCTCTTGAGGGACTTGCAACTTCTCCCCAACCAGAGCCCACTGACAAAAACTCTTGACAAGTTTGCGGCCAATCTTGAGCGACTAGCCGTCCTTGATAAGCTTAGCATCATTCCTGGGCTCGACTGTCATGAGGCATTGGCTGGTATTTATGTGAGCTTAGAAAGGCTTCACAAATGGGATGTTGGTCGGCTTCGTGATGAACCCGGAATGGGTGGCAAGTCGGACAGTGAACTGTCTACCATGGCGATGTGCACGCGACATGGCTACCCCGTTATGCATTCAAAAGACCGAGTGGGCCTCGCACTCCAGTACTGGAAGGCCCTTCGCCTCGTACAGCCAACCAACACCAAGTTGGCTTCATTCGCTTCTTCTCATGAACCGGTCTGGTCTCTTCTTATTGGGTGTGCTTCAACAGGAGGCATGGGACACATGCCTGTTCGAGTCTCCGAGGACTGGATCTCTAAAGATGTTGTGAAGGCAGAGCCCTCGATGGACCCTAAGCGTCCCAATCTAGACTGGCAGGAACCTGATAACGTCGTGCTTCCGCACTCAGAAGAAAACAAGGATGCTAGCATGGAAATGCTCCAGCCAGATCTCTCAACCGCCAGGGTGCCACAGGTCATGTTCGTCGCCACATTTGACCCTCCTGTCATCCTGCCCCAGAACGAATGGCTCCGGCTGCACTCATACGCCAATGTTAACGCAAACCCATTGTTTGGGTACTCACCAACCTTTGACAGTCTTTTCTTCCCTATCCCCCCTGGAAGTGCTCAGGACCCTAGCGAGCTCCGGGCGATCTCTCGCAGCCGTGATGTCCGCATTTATAACCAAGATCAGGAAGCTATCGTTAAGCCTCATCAGAACACATTGTATATCTACAAGCAAATATATTCACAAGTGGTGACTGAAATTCCATTCTCTCATCCTCAGCAACTCATCGAAATGCTCCCCCTGCTTCGACAGTATGCTTTTGTCGCAACTTTGCTAGAGAACAGCTTTGGATCACAGACGAACGAAGTTGAGAGATCACCCAAACAAGGAAACAACGCATCGCCGGTGCCGAAATCCAATTTAACTACCAGAGATGAGCTGGCTGAGTTTATGAACTCAGCTTCCGTGACTGACGATCATGCCTCTGCTGCACCGGAGGTCAAGCTTGACGTTACCCTGTGGGTTCATCCGATTCCACATCTTCAAGTTGTCTTCCCATTCCGAGATTCCACTGCCAATATTACCTTAAAGGTACTCGAGGACGGAATTGTGGAAGTCGTCGAGGAGAATGTCATTCCTCGTGGTGATGATAATAGAATGAAGGGCAAAGAACTCACGCGGGCAGACTTGGGAAAGCTGCTAGAATATATGGAAGATCTTTGCAAATGGGCAGAATGGATTCGGACAAGACTTGCATGAGTCGTTGAGACTTGATATAGTGGTTGGACAGGAACTAGGAGTTGGACAATACCCTCTACGTACCATACACAGTGGATAGGCGGAGAAAACTCAACGACTTATGCTACCATGATATGACCATACCTTTCCTCATGACACGACAAAAAGCCGGACTTAAATGTTGATAAACATAATAGATCTCAAAGCATAGGCTTAGGTTTAGTCATCAGCGATGTAGCCCCTCAGTCCTGCCATTGCATCACGTTGCGACTTCCCTTCCTCCTTAATCTTCTTCACGCGAATTACGCTATCGTCCAGAGTGCGTATGGCACAGCTTCCATCGCCTTGATCCCAAACCAGATTCTCCAAGACAACCCCAGTGTCTTCAAGGAGGCGGACTTTTGCTCCATGGTTCCCGATATCCTTTGAGGATATGGTCTCGACATCTTGGAGAATCAACCGCTTTTTATCACCCTTCTTGTTGACAGCATGAGTCCATACAGACCCAAGAACTCGTATCCTTCGCACAATGTCGTCCCCTGTCCACTGAGTCCATTTTATACGTCCATCAGCCTTTGTGAGCTTGGGCGCGTGTACGAGCTGCTCGTCGCTCAGCTCTTCTGCTCTCCATCCTGTATTCTGGCGAAGTGGCACATAGACTCCATCCCGCAGACCTTGAATTAACATTTGCGCTCCAATTGGTGCTAGGAGGCTCGTCAGTTCTTGGACGGTACAGCCTGGAGGTATCGATATTCCGGGACGAGAGGTTTGAGACAGGATAGTCCCATGATCGAAGATTCTGTGGTCTAGTGTTTGCAATGAGATTCCCGTGTAGTCATATCCTTGGAGAATCGCATGGTGGATCGGAGCAGGCCCACGAAGACTACTTTTGTTTAGGTATCTGGCGGAAGCATGCGTCATGAGACTTACTCAGGTAGCAGAGAAGGATGCACGTTGAGTCCACCGTATTTGGCCGAAGTTAAGATCCTGGGCGGGACGAATAGTCCGAAGGACACTGCTATCACAAGATTTGTTCCTTTAGGGAGCTACTGTTTTTAGCCACAGAGTTCCCAGGAAGTGCTCAGCAGGAAGCACGCAAACTTACATCCCATCCTGTGAAGGTCTTGCGCTGGTGAATATTCAATCTCAAGTTTTCTGCCAGTAACTTACAAGGTACTAAATCGATATATAAGTTCAACATCGTGGTGTTCTCATAGATTTGGCATACCTTCTCTCAGTGTTTTGAAACCTCTTCCCATGCGTCGTGGTGGCAAAACCATAACATCCAACGACTCTACAAGGTTCTTATTGTGACGATGCTCTTCGTAGAGAGCTTTCAGAGATGCGCAACTGAACTCATCGGATCCGCAGAAGAGAATGCGCAGCGGGTCTGGGGACTTTCGAGTCACACTTTGCGAGAAGAGCCGTCGCCATTGAGGAAATCGCACATCGAGCAATGATCTAGATTTGGAACCGGCAAATAGAATCATGCTCTCAGTTTAGTATTAGTATTGAGCCACTTGGATCTGTTAGGAATTTGCCGGCGTATCAAGGCAGGTTGGTAGTCTGAAGTGACAATAAAACAATCGCGTTTGTTGCATCTCCGCTTATATGCATTGACATTTTCGTCAAGGAAGACCTAACTATCTCACTCGCTTGAACCGAGCAGAGCCTGAGAACGGTTCAGAAGGAACTTGACACCATCCAACAACCTTGCCATAGAACCTGGCAATTGTATCAGATTATTTTTGTGTTTGATCTGTTCTTCATTAGTTCAATTTGTCAAAACAGACCGTTATGGCGCAAAGCCATCGCCCACATAAAGGTGTTTGCTGTAAACGGGCACTTTTGGAAGCGAGCAAAGAACTGATGAACTATTATGTATTTGAGAACTATTAGGTAGCAGGCAGGAGCAGGAAGAGCCTGGGACCGTTAGGTGATTGTGAACTGCGAAAACTCAAAACTGTCCAACAGTGATGCACGTGGTTCATAGGCTGGATATTGAGTCTTATTGCTATCTTCACCCGCATGTAAACATATTTATCTGGCTAGCAATTCATTATACAAGTATAGAGTTGACAGTACAACTGCATTGTTATGAAGAATGATACTCGTCGAAGCGATGTTTAGGTAGCCTCTGGCGACGGCAAAGAATAGTCAAGTCTTATATCCAGCAACTGGGTTTAGACAGTGGATAGTATGGTTTATTTTGATATGTTTAAAAGAGATCATCCACGGCCTTGTCAGCATCTTTTTGGATCAATTCGACCATGCCCTAGAGTAGACTGTTAGGTTCTGATGAGTATGGTTAAACGGGTCCACAAACCTTGGGCATGATAGGCTTGCCGTCTTCACCTTGTACATATCGGAATGGCATCTCAGTGCTCTCGTGTTCGTTGAATTTGAGCTCAGGGAAGTCCAGATAGGGCACCTGATCAAGTGGCACTGGTGTCTATCATAAGCTTCCGAGCTACAGGGGCCTAATAGGCGGATAACGAACCCTTGTCTTGAACAACAATACGAGTGACCCGGACGGCCGTATCTGTTGTCATCTGCTTGGGGCCGAGTCTGCGACCTTCAAAGCCCTTCTTTCGAAGCTCTGACGTACGGTCTAAGATCTCTGGTCAAAATGCATCAAAAGACAATATGTTGTGAGAGCCACAAACCTCGGGGAGGATCGTCGCCTTTCACACAAACATGAAACGTTAGTAACAGTACGCCTGCCGTTCCTCATGCTTTTTACGTACCGAGAATGCCTCCAAACAAGAAGGCATCAAAGTTCTCACCATCCTCAGGAGAGAGATCCTTGGTGGCTGATGGATCTAGCAGGCAAACTCGCGACTTGTTGGCGGCGTAGAGTTCCTCAACACCACGCTGCTCGGCAGTGAAGGCGGGGTTGCTGGCCAGGTCTGTTGGAACCTGGAACGCAGAAGGCAAACTGGAGAGGATGAAAGAACCATGAGTCGCTTGTGTCTCGCGTGCAATGGCCAGATATTCGAGTTCGGACCAAGGGCCCAGCTCTGGGTCGAGATGCTCAACAATAAAAGTCTTCCCAGAGGCTGCCATTTCTTCTTTGTTCTCTGGTGAGGGAGCAATTCTGAGCAAAGGTCAGTGGCGCGTACACTAGGCAAATGATGGTGGTAAATACTAAAAGCTTAGGCTATTGATCGATGTTTTCTGATATTGAATAACGTTCAGAGTTGTACCGTGAATATGAGACTTTACAAAAGTGAATGTGGTGGAGAATCTGGTTGGTTTAGTTGGAGGGGGTTTTGAAACTCCCTACCTAAGGGACCTTATCCATCTGTCTACTAGCTTGAAAGTTAGTTCATAGGTAGGTAGCCTGAAGCAATAGTGATCATCTGTATTCTGTAGATGCACCAAGATTTTTAATCCATTCCTCTCGCCTTTCCAATATTGAATATCGCTACTTCTTATTGATTTCGAACTTGACCATAAATGTAGAAGAATGTCGGGGAATGAAAACAACAGAGCAAGCCAGTGGTGATCGATCATTGGAGGGCATGCAGTTGATTTACTGATAATGCATACCGTTTACTGACGTTAGTACTGTGTCACTTTATTGGTGCTGTTATGTCCGACGTCCACGAAGCTATTTCTTACTGACTACCAGTAGGAGCAAAGTTGACAGCGCCACGATATTAAAAAGACAAACATGAACACGCCGGCCAACACGAACCGGCATAAAGAAGTTGAAGGGTATGCGTCGGAGTAAAACAAAATAAAAAGAAGAAGAAAATGCGTGGTACCTATGGATGCCACAGGAGTAGGTAGTCCAGATTAGAGGCAAATGCCCAGTGGACCCTTGCCCGGAGGAATTACCTCCCTACCTCATCCACTGCAACCAGAATTAATGCGCCAAGCCACAGTTGCGACCAGCGACAGTACGGAAGCTACAGCATCGCCCCCACTAGAGCCCGTCCGGGGTCCCGAGGGGCCACCTCATCTCTCCTGGACTAACAAAGGTCCCAACTACTGGCTGGATTGTCCCTTTATCAACCAAGGCACCTTCATTCCAACAACAACTCTTATTGCTTTCCATGTCGTCGACGAGGAGGACCTCCAATTCTTTGTCTTTTTAATCTTCACATTCCGTCGTCTTATAAGTAACCGCCCTTCCTTTCTGTGTTCTTTTAACATTACCCGCGGCGTCCTGCGTCCGCAACTTCATCATGGTTCTCAAATTCATGATTCCGTCCCCGAGACGATGGGCCGCCCTGGTCTCCTTCTGTCTCGCACCAACTCTAGCCATCGCTGTAGGCGATGCGACCGCAACAAAAGCTGCAGCTGCCGACTACTATGTTCGCGACCTTCCGGGGTTACCCACCGATGGGCCCGATGTCAAGATGCACGCTGGGTTAGACAAACTGTTTCCTCCCTTTGCTCCAGGCTTACTGACGCATCCGCGTGCCTTTCAGTCATATCGAAGTCACCCCAGATACGCACGGGAACTTGTTCTTTTGGCATTTTGAGAACCAACATATCGCCGATAGACAACGGACTGTTATTTGGATCAATGGTGGACCAGGCTGCAGTTCAGAAGATGGGTCCATGATGGAAATTGGCCCCTATCGGCTCAAGGATCAAGACCATCTGGTCTACAACAATGGCTCGTGGAACGAATTCGCCAACCTGCTGTTCGTCGATAACCCTGTAGGCACCGGCTTCAGCTCGGTCGACACCAATAACTATATACACGAACTTAAGGAAATGGCGGATCAATTTGTCAAATTTCTTGAGAAGTGGTTCGCTCTCTTTCCCCAGTACGATCGCGATGATGTGAGCAAACTCTTCCTTTTGGGCTTTTCAATTTGCTAAGAACAACGCAGATATACATCGCAGGCGAGTCTTACGCCGGACAGCATATCCCATACATCGCCAGGGCTATCCTCGATCGCAATATGAAGAATCCTGCAACCGCATGGAACCTGAAAGGACTATTGATCGGCAATGGATGGATTGACCCAATCGAACAGTATCCGGCTTACATTACATTTGCCATTCAGAAGGGTCTGATCAAGAAGGACTCCGACGAGCACAAGCAACTGCAAGGCGATCTGCGCAATTGTCAAAGAATGATGGCCTCGGATGTTGGCCATGTTGACTACGGCGAATGCGAAGCTATCTTGTCAAACATGCTCAGACTAACCAAGAACGGTGACGGCGATAATGCATGCGTCAACATGTATGATGTACGACTGAAAGATTCATACCCTAGCTGTGGCATGAACTGGCCTCCGGATCTGGTGCACCTAACTCCTTACCTGAGAAAGCCGGAGGTTACGAAAGCCCTTCATGTCGATGGTATTAAGAAATCTGTCGGCTGGACCGAGTGTAACGGTGCTGTTGGAGGTGCCTTCAACGCAAGGAAGTCTAAACCTTCGGTTGATCTCCTGCCCGCTCTCCTTAAGGAAGTTCCTATCATGCTCTTCTCTGGAGCTGAAGATCTCATTTGCAACCACATTGGAACCGAAAACATGATTAGCAAGATGGAGTGGAACGGTGGGAAGGGTTTCGAAGTAACACCAGGTAACTGGGCCCCGCGGCGTGACTGGACTTTTGAGGACGAGACAGCTGGTTTCTGGCAAGAGGCCCGGAACTTGACATATGTTCTTGTCTATAACTCTTCCCACATGGTCCCTTTCGACCTTCCACGACGAAGTCGAGATATGCTGGATCGCTTCATGGGCGTTGATATCAGCAGAGTGGGTGGCGACCCTGCTGACAGTCGCATTGATGGCGAGAAGGGGCCAAAGACTAGCGTTGGCGATGCCAAGAACAGTACTAAGACCGCCGACGAGGAACACCAAAAGCAGTTGGACGAGGCCAAGTGGGCAGCATACTACAAGTCTGGCGAAATTGTTCTGGTCATCGTCATCATTGGTGTCATCGTTTGGGGATACTGGATCTGGCGTGAACGTCGCAGGGGTGCTGCCTATTCTGCTTTGGCTGATCATGATCTTTCCAGCCGATCCAACGGCCACCGAGCCAAATCGCAACCTGGTGATCTTGAGTCGGCGGCTTTTGATGAAAGCGAACTGGACGATTTGCATGTAACAACACCGGGAACCAGCAACAGTGCTAGGTTTCCAGCGAATCATGACAGTAGCGAAAAGTTTGTCACCAAGTACGTCGAATAATGGAAAGCCAAAGTCATGAATGGGCCTTGTTTCCACCTGGATAAGGTTCCTTTGGTTGTATAACACAGCTGGCGCCCTGGTTCTTTTGCATAAAGTGGTTGGTTGTCACAAATGGGAGGTCTGGCGTTTTCCTCATTTATATCGCGAATCGAATCAATTTTGTCATCATCTAAGTTGGTAATCCTACGCCGACAAACTCCATATCTAGATCTGAGCCCTCCCGTGAAACCTTGCCCCGAGATCATTGTGTGACTTGCAGCCTGTGCATCGTGCTCCGTGTTCCAAAATAAACAATCCACCTATCAAGTAAAGCTGATATTTACGCCTGCAGTGCTGCGCCATCGTTGCCCATAAAAAAAGAAAGATTGTAAAAGTCAAAGTTTAGAGTTGCACATCGTTATTGAGCAGGCGAACTTCTTCACCTGGTTTGAAGGGAGGAAGGCCAATATAAGGACATCCGTCACAACGGAAAGCGTCGCCAAGAGAACAGTTGCCGCATGAGCCGACCTTACCTTGCACGGTGAAGTCGATCTCAGCCAGGTCGTCTGTTGCCAGCTTAATGCTCTCGAGTTTCTTGTCAGCGGTTGCGCGTTTGTCGGCGTCTTCGGCAGCAAGACGTTCGGCCAGACCACATGTGCAGTCCTTGCAGGCCCGACGACGTTTGCCAGCCTTGGGTTGACATTCGGCAGCTAGTATGTTGTCAGGATCGCATTCGACTATGAAAGCATTTGCAGGGGTTACCTACGGATACTGATAGGTCTCGCGAGATCCGCTTCAGTCATGAGAGTATCCTCATCAATTAGATCGTCGTCCTCAAGATCGTCTTCAAGATCGATGAAGCCGACGCCGGCGGGGACCGCTGGTTCCGGTTTCGCCTCAGTAGGCTTCCTCTTCAGGTTCAGAGGAACAGAGCCATCTGCGAGAGGACCGGGCTGGGATTTCTTCTTGCCAAACTTCAGAGTAATGGCTCCGTCATTCTCACCGTAGTCGGGTTTCTCAAAACCACCCCGCGATGATATCAACCCGGCCAAAACCGCTTCCTTTGACAAAGTGGACTCCTCCAGGCTGTTGCCATCTTGAGACTGTAGGCGACCGCTAGGCTTGAGGGACTCGGCGACAGGACCAAGGACAGTTCGGTTCATCAAGGCGAGGGATTCGCCCAGCATCGAAGAGGCATCGGATAGGACCAAGACGAGGTCGTAGGTGGAAGGAGGTAACGTGACCAATCCCAAGGAGAGACGGTCAAGCATCTGAAGATCGGTGAAGGAGCGATCATAATCGGCGAGGACAGATGTGAGGGCGTCGGAATTGGAGGCAAGAGAAGGAGGCGCCAAAAGAAGGGTTCGCTTGGGTGGCGAGGATTGGACAGACTTCGTGACAGGCATGACGAAGTCGTCACTGGGATCAATCATGAGGGTCGCGGGCGCCATGGCGAGTGAATAGACAGCAGAAAGGCAAAATCAACGAGGTAGATGGGAACAAGAAGTAGGGGAAGATTGAGGGACAGGCCGTTTTTAAGATCTTCAAGGTGATGTTAGACCCAGACTTTTTGACTCGGCGGTCCGTGGTGTCTGGATTAGTCAAAGAACGGTAGTACCGTGCACAGCCAATATGAACTGTGCAACATGCCCTAGCATACGGGGGGTTGTACCGTGTGGGCTGACTATTCAGATGAACGGTACTGCATCTGATATTAGAGTTGCGGGGTCATTTTTCTGCTTTTCCACGGCGGGGGGCTTTTGGCTTCTTCGAAGGGCCCTTATTCCGACTGCGGAGACGCCGAGTACTTCTGCCGAATTAAATTGTTACTATGAGAGCCCATCATATTGGGAATGGCTTTGCAATCATGCAGTCACAATCAGTTGTCGCTGATAAGTTGATAACGAAGTAACCTCTAAGAATTGG